TAAAAATTAGTTAAGACTAGAGCAGAAAGAAATTGTAGAGTTCATTCCAGGCCAAACTATTGTTTTCGAGATTAGAAAACAGACCGAAAGTGAAAAACTGATAAACTTGAAGTCACACAGAGGACAACAACCCAAAGTTTGCCCATTCCCCTAGGAGAATTGGGCTAAAATTAGCCTGGGCAATCTGGCTGAATTAACAAAGTGTATCTGCAAGGCACTGTTTGACTCCTAGTCATGGCATGACACCTAAAGATTAATAATGTTGTTCTACAATCATGGGTCTTTTGGACCAGCTTCCCAGCACCATTTATTGATAAATATGACTATGATCATTTCTATCCGGTCTCATTAAGAGCCATCAGAGCTCTGTGGAGTAGGCCTCTTACATAATAACTGGAATCTATGTGACTGGTAAAATATTGAAGATACTAACATGAAAAGCATTTTATAAAAAGATCTTTAAAAATATAAGTCTCTAGCCACTTGTATGATCAACTAAACATGCAAAATTATTCATAAGAGTATACAATTTAAGTGGCACTTTTAAATGAACATTAAAAAGACATCATTTGGGGCTCTAGCGTTCCTGGGTGTTCCATGTAGACATCCTGATGCAAAAGAAGGGGATCGTGCCACAGCTAGCATCTGCCTGGGGCTGGGGCAATGAAGCTGCTTCCTGCTAGGCAATGGCTGTGTTTGAGAAATGCATCCTTCCTTTAATGTATTACCAGACGGTATCCTTGCCTGCAGCAAGTGCCAATGGGCTAGCCTTGACAGATCACATCCTCTGAGTCTTCTGAACCATATCCTGGTTAACTGTCATTATTCATGCATGGGCCAAGAACCTGCCCCTTGGCAGGCACTCAGACAACTCTAAAATTAATTAATTGATGAAAAAGGAAAGAAAATCTGAGTGTCCTGCCATTGTCCACCATAACCTTTTACAAAATTTCTCATTAGCATGAAAGAAACACAAATTAACTCCATATGATTGATACTTCTTTGTTGGAAAGACAAAGAACCTGCATTTGTCACTCTCAGCTCCTAAGAATCTCTGACTGGAAGTTGCTAAAGATTATGTGAATGAGGAGACTCTAGGAGTTGCTGCACAATGCTATTTGTAAGTTGCTTCCTCTTCTCTCTGAGGAGAACATTGAGGGTAGTGCCAGCACAGGTCTTTTGCAGTCTAATGAAATCATGTGATCTTGGCAATGGCCCATGATGCTAGCACACACACCCACACCCAAGCTACTCTGTATTGAAAAGCTTAATGTCGATAATCAAAAGGAAATCTCTGTATATCCTTATGAAACTACTGCAAAAATGAGTTTCAAAAACTACTCATACAGATAAAGTAGCATAGAAAATGTGTGCGGTGCCCAGGAATAATGAAACCAATCAAAACATATTCACTTTCCCCTTGGAGTGACTCCTAAAAGCTACCATGTGTATTCAGGGTCCCCACCTTGAAATTCACTAACAAAACCACAAATCAGTGGTTAAGAATGGACAGACATGTGATCATATAATCAACAACAACTGAAGGAATTTTTTTTAATCATACCCAACCTAATACCCTTGCCACAGAAATAAGTAGCTTGATTTTTCTACAATGAAAAACAAATGTAAATTTTCCAAGTCCATTTTCCTTGTTAGAAAAACACAAATGTCCAACTCTGTGAATTCACACACCAAAGGACAGGATCCCAAACTGTAAAGATCACAGTGCTGGAGGCCGACTTGTAGTGTGGTGGTAAAGTTCACTCCTACACGGGCGTGGATTCGAGTCCCAGCTGTGCCACTTCTAATTCAGCTCTCCGCTAGTGCACCTGGGAAAGCAGCCAGTGACGGCCCAAGTACTTGGCCCCTGCACACATGTGAAGACCTGCATAGCATAGCAGCTTCCTGGCTTTGGTCTGAACCAGTCTCAAGTATTACAGCTATTTGGGGAGTGAACCAGAGAATGGAAAATCTCTCCTCCCCCCTCTCTATCTCTCTCTTTCTTTCTACCTATCTCTTCTCTCTCTGTAACTGTGCCTTAAAAATAAATAATCCTTTTTTTAAATCACAGTGATTTAAAAGCAAATATTGTTGACTATGTCTCAGTGGCAAAGGCTGAATGGGGTAGAATCCTGAAAAGACCAATGCTGTCTCTTTGGAAACAGAGAAAAATTTGAACAGAATTATGACATTAATATATGTCCACTATAATATTTTAATGAGAGTCATATACCAGGATTAATAGACTCCAAAAAATGCAAGAAACTCTGGTATGCAGCTCTACCACATATGTTACTCAGAGCAAATTACTCAGACTCTTTGAGCCTTTGTTTCCTCATCTGGAGAACGAGCATAATCAGTAATGTGTATTACATTGGCATTAGATACACGGATCAAACACTTTACATCCACTTAAAACATCCAGTATTTTATTCTCAGTAAATAACAATCATTTGGTGGTTTCGTTCTCAGACCTGTTCAAGCGATATGAAATCAAATGTAAGATGCTATCACCATGACCACAGACATACAATGTATGACTAAGTGGTGCCACCCATTTACATTGTGTACCTGCTTGAAGCTACGTAAGTAACCATGAGAGCAGATTGCTACTCACTGCATTAACTTAAACCTCACCACAACATCAACACATAGGGAGATATACTGAGATTTGTCTCACTTTACTGATAGACTCTTAATTTGAGCTCAAGTTTTGAGATGTGACTTGTCCAAAGTCACAGAGCTGGCAACCAAAGGCAGCAAAATTTAGTTTTTCAGTCCAACTGCTCTTCCAGAGTTTCTCCCACCATGGTAGCTTTTGGAGCATATCAGTTTCAAAACTTTTAGCCTCCAATAGTAAATAGGACCCCAAGCAGCTTAGCAGAAGGACAATGCCTAGAAGAATGGCCTAGGATGCAGACCTGCTGCTGGGTGGGTACATGCACTAGAGAGAGGAATGAAGGGCAGCTGCCTTGACACGCTCATCTCACACACAGAGGGTCACCACCTCCCACAGGGCACAGGGGCCTCCATGTGACTGCAGTGCGAGCCAGGTGGACTCAAGTTCTCAGATTCAGAAAGCATGCCTTCCATCCCTACCTGCTTGCCTTCAGAGCCCATCTTTACCCCATCCCCGACTTTCAACCCATGAATTGTCTCTCATCTTTTTTTTTTTAAGAAGAAGCCTTACCCTCCCTTCTTGCTTGTGCCCATGCTTAAGATGGCCCTCCACAAAAAATAAGGACTTTTCCTCCAAACTCTAGGTGGGCAAATTATGCTTTTCCTTAAAAGCCACTGCCCCCATGAAATGTAACTCATACACACTCCGCTGCTTCAACCACACCACAAGCAAACTCTGCAGCCAAACATCGCAGGTCCAGCTGCATTTCTCACTCCATTTTTTTTTAATAGGAGTTGCCAATCTAGCTTGCCCTTAGCAACAGTAATGAGACAGCTTTGGTCAGCATGCAATCAAGCCACATCAGTTCCTATCCAGTTCTCACTGCCTCCCTGCCCAGTAGCCTGGGGATCCACACAGTACATCTGGTTGGAAACAAGGGCAGAAAGGATGGCTTCCCTACATGTGCATCCCAAGGAATGCTGCTCATGAGAAGGCTACCCCCAAAACAACTGGGATTCACGGTCAAACAAATGTGTGAGAGACTGGAACAAGCATCTTCCTCTGGGAGAGTAAAACGCATAGCAAGACCGAGGAACAGGCCAGCAGTACAGAATCCTACAAAGTAACTTGAACACAGCAAATTCCAAATGTATTCAACTACAATCCTCTCAACAACAACACTTAATTTGGGGAATGCTTGACACTGCCTCAAACTTAACAGTCATGGATCTCATTATGAGACAACGCTCCCTAAGAATCACCACCCAAAAAAGGCTAGTAGAAGAGTCAAAGCAGAAAGGAGAGGTTTAGGTTTTCTGGCACTAAACCGCAAAATACTCTGCAACTGTTACATTAATTTTAAAAGGCATTTTTTTAAACAAAGGCAGGAGAGAAATATTTTTAAGTTCGTGACAGTGATCGACAACAGTGTACTCTTGAGATGCATATTTGCTATCATGGGTCACAACCCAACCTCCCATTTTCTATGTACAAGATGAAGTGCAGGACAAAATGATTACCTGAATGCATCACATCAACTTCTCTTTCTACAGCCACAGAATTTTGTCTATTCGCATTCAGACAATTCAAGCTGACTGAACTTGAATATAAAATTGGAAAGGAAAAAGCCTAAGACCTCTGAAAGGTTAAACACACTAACTATATAAATAGATTTTGCTAATAAGGTGGCCCTTAGGAAAGGCCACTTTCTGGACAATTTGCCATCCAGGTAACACTGAGGAGGTATCTAGAATATTACATGACACAGTACAGTAAAATTCTTCCAATACCTGAGAGGCAGTGGTCTCTTATTTCTACAAATCCAACTAACAATGAAAGATTTGAATACCTAGTAGTATGAATGCATGCATCAAAGGCTTCTAAAAATCAGTTTATCTAGAAACACACTGTCTAAAATAGAAATCATAAAATTTTCTTTTAACTTTAAGCATCCCAGGTAATTCAATTAAAATCTTTTCACATTTATAAAGATAAAGCACTGATTCTAGGAACTAATCTATAGACATTTTAGATTATGAGTTTTTTTAACTTATACTTTAAGAGTCACACAATTCATAAAGAAGTATCACCATTTACATTTGAATGTCAAAGCTTATTTCATTTTTTAAACTAAGAACTGTAAAGTCATAAATATGCAACTCTCCTTTCCCAAAACACACTTGGTAAATATGTCACATGGTAATACAATCTGAGTCATACAGAACACATTCCAAGATTTCCTTCTAGTATCTGGGGTGAAGGTAACTGTTAATGAACTTAACACTTTAACGTTACTTTGTACTTCGTTGTTACTCATTCCATTTCAGTTTAATGGTCACAAGGATCATGTTTTCAAGTAGCCCTCGAGGCAGTGCCTTACCAGTGTAGATGCTGGCATTGGAAGCTGGGATACCAAACTGGGACTCGATGAACTTGGGAATGAAGGTAATGAAAGCAGTTACAATGGCACTCTCAGCTGTGTATGACAAACTCACAAAAAGGAATGTCATGTTGCTTAAGATCCTGACAGCTGCTCTTGGTAGGTCTACAAAATGACAAAAATGACAAATGAATGTTATAAACAATGGATGAAAAACAAAATAAAACTGAATTGTTTTTGAAATGAACTGGAAATAGCCATTTGGCAACATTTGCCACAAGAGAATAAAAACAGAAAGATCTGATGACATTTAGAAGCATCCTCTTTATTAAGTCAATTTGTTTTGGTTTGTTGTTCTTCTCTTAAATTTTCTACCACGGAAGGAAATTAAAGTATCTAAAAACATAGCCATAAACAAACATCCTGACAAGCAATACCCAAGCTGTCTCTTCTATTTTAAAAACTGTTAATCACTTGATTTTTTTTTCAATGAATAAAGCAGTGTTGAGAGTCCAAGTCAATTAAATGCGAGAGGACCTGCAAACTAGTGCTAAATTATAGTTCCCACTTCAATCAACCACCACTCCACTGGGAAGAGGCACTTGTGAGCCAGCCTGGGTCTGGCCCTGCACTGCAGCTGCCCTCAGCAGAGGAGTGGGCATACAATGTCAGATAGCTGATCCACCAGCCTCATCATGAAACAGGAGATTATCACAGCTAGAAAAGCCAAGTGGGTGAGGCCAACTGGTCAGACACTTCCAAGACTGTGAACCACAAGAGCCCAATGGGAAGGAGAACCCCAAACGGTGCCACAGCATCTTGCAGGGCTTCCTCCATATAAGGAAGGAAAGTTCCATCCTTCAGTCCAGATTTACTTTGCAGCACTTGTCATAAACGTTTCAAGATACAAGCACAAGTTCTGTCATATAGCTTTGTGTGTAACAGAAAAAACTGGGGAGAAACACCATCAATGGGAAATGTTTAAATAAATTATGGCAAAGCCATATAATAGAATACTAGGCAGAAGTTACGGAGGTGCATGTACTGACATAAAAGAACTTCCAAAAGTAGCCTTGCTAGGAAGTAAGTCAATCTATACAAACAGAGACACATGGTTTGCATGTGTGAGTGCATAATTGTAATTTAACAGAAATCAAACAAGCCAAAACGCTTTATAATGTATGGGTCAAATGTATACTTCTCAATACATACATAACGCTAAACTAGTAAGGGTTTGATCTTTGTGAAAACTGGGAAAGAGAAATTAAAGACTAACATGTCTATATTTTTCTGTTTTTGCACATTTATAATATGAATCAAAGGGCATTTATATAATCTCATATCTTCGTGGAAAAGGTAAACCACATTATTTTAACAATATAATCACTTTAGGAATATTATCACTATGTTGCACCACAATAAATTCCTCTCATTAAGACATAATAAAACTGGTTAGTTCTTATCTTCCCATCACCAGTATTTAAAAGTTAACGACTTTAGCTATTATTTTAAAATTCAAAATCAATGTCATACTCTGTACCTTAATTTAATTTTTAAATGCAAACATGCAAAAGGAAGATTACGCTGCATACTTCTTCATTTTAGTATATATTAGGTACAACACAGCAAAACAAAGTAGTTCATCAAATTAGACACTATTCTCTTAAAAACACTGCAAATTAAATATCAAACCCAAATGCTGAAAATAAAACTTTCTATCAGCCTTACAGATTCAGATTAAGTTTACCTCATATAGTAAAAGCCAATGTTCTGCATCTAAGGGAACTATAAAATAATTTTAATATAAGCTAATAAATGCATCACATGGATGTCAAAAGATTAAAATTCTGTCAAACTAATTTTTTTATTCAAGATAAATTTGGCATGATACAATAGCCTTCTAATTTCAATAACAACTAAAAATATATATGATGGTCCTTTCTTTCTTAAAAAAACTCTGATGTTGTTTAAGAACTTAGCCAAAATCTGGACTCTGACCTCTCAACAAATTAACTTCTTTCTTGCACCTCCTCTTTCCTCTTTGTTGAGGATAAGCTTTCAGCCCACACGTCCTGCAGGAACAGATGGCCAGATATCCAAGACTGCGCCACTGACACTGGTGACTCTCCACACACACAGCTGAACAAGTGGGGAAGTTCTCAAACTGCCAAGGGAGACAACTACGAACATGGAAAACAGCCTACAGAACTGTCTCAAATTAAAAAAAAGAAAGAAGAAACAAATACAGAAAGCAATTCGGTATCAGAGACTCAAACTGGAGATATAAATATGACCTCATGGTCTGTTACGTGGTAAAATAACTAGATAAAATAATAAATGAAATAGATTTATGATATAGAAACAGATGACAGACAACATCCAAGGTGAGTGGTTAGTGTTCCTGTGTGTGCATGCACAAACACACAGACACACACACGTTTCCCGCAATCTGTCCACTAACAGAGGCTAGAGATAATGACACCCTGCCAGGACCTGGCCCACCTAGCACCCAGTTCTCTAAGAGCCATTCTCCACTAATACGAATCAGAGCTCCTTGGTAAAATGTCTAACTTTAGAGCTAGAATGGATAAAACATAAGATGAGTCTAGAAAATCATGTTGGACAAGAAAAAGATGCTCGCATAATGCTGGGAACACGCCAGAAGGAATCAGAAACCCTCCTGAAGGAGTCCCAGTGGCCAACGAGGGAGAACAGCTCAATGGATGCCAAAACCAGCAAGGGAAAGTCCAATAGAAACAGCAGATAATTAATCCTCATCACTCATGGACTCTGTATATGAAATTTGCCCACTTGTTAAAATCAGTAGCCCAAAAATTAATCTTCATAGGAAATTTTCAGTCATCCACAAAACAGCAAAAACTGTGAGTCTTCTGACTTGCCCATTCCCAGCTGTAGTGGGAATTCTAATGTGAGCTTTCATAACGCAAACAAGGCTCCTGCCAGCACTGTTGTGCTTTCTGCTGATGACTACACAGTTCTAAAAGCCCCCAAGCATGGTGCTGCAGTGTTGTGTGGAGCTGGTAAGCATAGGAAGCTGAGAAGCATCTGACGGAAAACCTACATGTGTTAGACAAGCCTTACTCAGGCATGAATTGCAGCACTGTTGACCCTGCATTCAATGTCAGTGAGTCAACACTGCAGATCAAACTGCCATCTTTAAACCAGAGCACACGTGAAACAAGGTTAGGAGCTGATTGGGTGAATATTAAGATATGTTGGGGACCCAACCCTGTATCTGCGCTAGGAATAATGCTTCTGTATTTACTAATTCCACATTCATGGTGATTTCATAGAACAAAACTGCTATGAAAGACAATAAGAAAATAGCCTCAATTTGCCTGCCCACAATAGCCTATAAATTTCTTATTGATTTATAATTGCATTATACTTATCACTTTATGGTGAAGAAACCTGGCAAATAGAATCATACAGTGATGAAAGTAAACCTAAGCAGAAATGGGACAAAAACCTGCAAAAAATGCACAATGTCCAGAGACATTATGAAACCCAAATTGAGGGGAAACCCAAATTGAGCACTTTTTAAAACGCTAAAGGTCAGCCTTCTTGCACAGTGAGTTAAGCTGTTGGTTATGATATCAGTATCCCATAAGAGCAGTTCTACTCCCAGCTAATTTACTTCTGTTCTAGCTTCCTGCTGATGTGCCTGGGAAACTGGTGGTGGATCAATGCATTGCTCAGGTACCTATCACCATGTGGGAGGCCCAGATGGAGTTCTAGGCTCCTGGTTTCAGCCTTGATCACCCCTGGCCATTGCAGTCACTTGGGGAATAAGCAAGCAGATGGACGATCTCTCTGTATACCCCTCTCTCTGTGTTCCTCTGCCTTTTAAATGAATAAAATAGATCGTCAAAAATAATAATAGTAAATTGATCAAAGGCATGAGGGCAAAGAAAGATGCAGAACTGATCCAGACTGAGGGAGACTAAAGACACGAAAATGAAGTACATGCGATCCAGGACTAGATCTTGGCCATCAATGGAACTATCGAGATCCTTGGTAGCATTTGAATGGGACCTTGGTTTCAAGGTGAGGAAACTTTTCTCTGCCAAGGACCACCTGGATAATTATAATATTATCTTCAGTCATACAAAATTATCAACTGAAAAGAAATTAGCCTACTATAGATTGTCTGATTTCCAAGTCCCTCATGTGAATCCCTGGGCAGGAGCAGACCAACCTGATCTAGTTAGCCTTGTATGATCTGCAGGTTGGACATTCCTTTCTCTGGAAGACAGTCTCAATAGACCAATGTCATTTTCTCTCTTTGATGTCTGTCCAGTGGTCATGGAGGAGAGCATCCTTGCACTCACAACACACATACTGACCTGTTAGGAGGTAGGGGAACATTATGTCTGTGACTTCCCACAATGTTAATGATTGCAGGATCGGGATACAGGGTAACTTGAGCACTGTGTGTGCTATTTTCGTGGCCTTAAAGGAAATTCAAAATTATTTCAAAACCACAACGCTTAAAAAAACCAGAAAAGAGATTGTGAAATCCATGAATTTGCAACAAACTCGAATTTTTCATGCTGCAGAATGTGTTTTTTTACATCGATTTCCTGAGTGTCCTTTTTAACTATTGTCATTGTAGAATCAGCAATGCAGTACAAAGCCTGATGAAGGACAGGTATCTGAATAATGATAGTGAATATCATTTTCCTTGATCACTTATTGTTAATACATCTTATACATCAGGCCTAGCGCTATAGCTCATTGTTACTTTGCATGCACCAGCATCATATATGGATGCCAGTTTGTGTCCCAGATGCTCCAGTTCCCTTCTAAGCTCCCTGCTTGTGGCCTGGGGAAGCAGTATAAAGAATGGTCCAAAGCCTTGAGACTCTGCACTTAAGTGGGAGACTTGGGAGAAGCTCCTGACTCATGGCTTCAGATAGGCTCAGCTCCGGCAGTTGTGGCCATTTGGAGAGTGAACCATCGGACAGTTCTTTCTGTCTCTCCCCTCTATAAATCTGCCTTGCCAATAAAAAGCTTACACATCAATTATGAAAGCAAGTTTATTCCTGTCTCCCACAGCAATAAAGAAGAAATAAAACTCAATACAAAATACCAACACTCGAGAAAATGTAGTGTAAGGTGAACTCCACTTATAAATCACTTTT